TGGAGATAGGAAAGTCCCTCCGATAAGGACTGGCACAGCCTCATGGACAGCATCCAGCTGCTGGCGTGTTTACACAGAAAGGAATGAAGAGAACCCTGAAATCAAAGACAAGACGACTGTCCAGGACTCAAGAAGTTTGCCACTCAGTTCAGAGGTCAAAAAAAAGGTGACAATATAAATCCAGCCTTCAGCTGGAGAAATGCAAACTGTCCACATTCAAAACAAAAACAAAAGGAGGGATGTAGATTACTCTTGGATCTACATCCCTCCTTTTTTTCTGTTAGATATCTAAAAAGTTGTTTTCTTGCATGTTTCTAATGGTTGATAGAATAGCATCTTATCAGCTTTACAAAATATGAGGTTGATTAAAAGTCTAAATTAGGAAAGTAGAGTTTCTAGTGATGAAGTTGTTTATTTCTTTAATAATGTTATTTATCTAAAACTGGCTAGCACAAAAATATTCAGTGTTTTTCTGAAACCAGATGTTAAGATACAGGAAGGAGACTGGTCCCACGTCCCAGAAATGGACATCTTTTGGTCCAAAGTGTGCATATCAACTCCAGGACAAAAGGGAAAGATATTATGAAAATCTCCAGAAAAAAGTAAAATGCAATCTAGCCCTTATTCTAAAAGCAATATTAGTGGTCAGAAGATTGTTTGTGAATGCATTCAGGGGTAAACCTATTCTTTTGATATATCTTCTTTAGTCTGACAAACAAAAATCTAAACATTTTGCCTTAACAACTATTTTGCTACCCTCTCGTTTCATCTGCACCGTTGCACTTCATGTCACATAACATTTAGTTTTCTGTAAATGCAAAAATGTCTGTAGATTCAGAAGTACATTCACACATATTTAGCAAGTTATATGTCTAGATTTCACATTTTTTTTATTTAGGTTGAGTTTGGAAATTGAACCTCTCCATACTTAACTGTATTTTAGATGTTTTAGACATTTTTCGAACTGTCATTTGCTAAACATTCAATGAAACAGGAGCTTCCCTTTGACTGACTTTCACATAATAAAATAACACCTTTGCTAATAGTGTCACCTTTTAGCAACAGGAAACCCCTTTTGTTTATGAGGATCATTTCCTTTTTGTTTCCTATATGTTGATCTTTCAGTAAATTGAAAACAATCTAAGTAATTTACCCCAACCAAACCCTTTATGCGGCTCAGACTGGTTAATATGAAAGGACCTTTCCGTACTCACATGTTCAGCGTACTGAAGCACAATGAGCAGGCTGCCATTGTCTGGTTTCCACTCCGTGCCTAAGAACTGGAGAATCCTCTCATGCTTCATCAGTGGAAGCTCGTAAACCTCCTTTTCATTAATAAACTGATGTTTCCAGTTTGCACTGTACACTTTCACAGCCACCACACTTCCCCTTTGCTTCCCTTGATAAACAGTTGCAAATTGGCCTCGTCCCAGAACCTGTCAGATACACAAAGAGAGAAAATCTAGAAGCTTTCAGGACTTACTAAAATGTCTGAAGAACACTCTGAGACTCACCCCCTGCAGTTCAGTGTCCGTAATCCGGTTCTCTGAAGCTTTTATTTGACAGGAACACTGTTGTTGGATGTTATAGTCCTTGCAGGCCGACTGCAGATTTTCCTCTAAAAACATAGAAGACATTTTACAGCGGATCTGGCAGACATGCAGGTGTATTTATTCGCTTTAAGATGGCCGAACTAAACATCTGCTAAGATGTTGCAGAAGAGTAGCAAAGGTAAAGGGGAGTTATGTGTCTAAGATAAAGACCAAGGTCAGTTTTAGCAGAGAATGAAAGAGACTCAAGGTTTACTGGAGACGTCCTGAAAATGTCATAAAAATAAGATAAAAAGTTCAAACAATTACTCAAGAATATTTATTGTTTTTTTTTTTTTTGATTTAAGAACAAAAACGTTTGTGTTTGTCTGCTGAGGTCATCACACAGGTGGGATCAGGATAATAACTGGTTTGTTACTAAAGTGGCCATCAAGGTCCAGCTGCTTTATTAAAGAAAGAGATCTGGATCTTAACCAGCACATCTGAACCTACCTTCAATTTGGATCTTCGTTTTGTCTGAAAAACAGGACAAAATGAAAAAGAGCAGTAAAGATACCAAACATGAAAACAGCAGAAATTAATAAATAAAAATATTCACACTTCAGGTGAGACTTGCTATATACTTTAATAACCTCTGAAACTTTACCAAAGTTTAAAGCACATGAATTCTTTCATTTACAAGTAAACATGATTTTCTTTTTCTAGAAATTATTAAGAACTGTCAATTTGTCTTGTATGCCCAACATTGTTTAACTACTCAAAAACATATTTTATTTTAGACACAACTTTTTTTTATGGTGACTTAAAACAATTCAAATTGTTTTTCATGATTTTGTGACAGAGGCTGATACAACAATGACCAATAAATATGTATCTTTTCATATCCAGTTAAACCACTTGAAATCCAATCAAAACTAACGAGTTGTTAATTTAAAGATTCAAAATTTGTTTATGACATGCAATTCTCCTAAATGTTCTCAGTCGGATCAAAAAACAGGGTTCTGATTCATCTTTTATGAGTAATCTCTGCAAACCTATTACTGATCCCCAGAATCAGTCTTTAGTAGAATACATAAAGCACAATTAGGCAGCTGTGTACAAAAGATGAGAAACATGAAAATTTCTCCTAAATCCATTAGAAGGAAGCTCGAGATGGACGTAGAATTTTTCTCAGTATTTTATTCTCATCCTCCATTTCAGCTCTACTTGGATGTCATTTGATTGAATATCAAGTATATCCATCTATCTACATTGATCTAAGAACGAGACATTTAAAGATTTGGTGTTAACTTGATATGTCTCCCAAAGCCTCCTAAATACAATACACCAGAAAAATGAAGCTTACTTTTTTCCTTGTAGTATATTCTCCACCAGATAGCAATAACAATGACAGCAGTAAAGGACGGAATCACCACCACCAACAATGCTTTTGTGATTTCAGCTGAAAGAAAAAAAAGGATAAAAAAAACAAATACAGGTCCATTTCCATTTATTTTCTTTTTTTTAAATTTTTGTTTGAATGAGTAAAATTTTGTGGAAAAAAGCAGAGATTTTATTTTTAGCTACATCCAACAGTTATTTGTAAAAAAATAAAAAAATTAGTGAGTACCTGCTGTATGGTGGTCGGTTTCTGGAGGCTGTTCTGGTCCTGGACTCCACGAGATGTTACTGTTGCACATGTCTGTATTGCATGTACATGTAATGAAGTTATGTATGAAGGGTGGTTGCGCCTTGCAGGTTTCATGTGGGCAAAGCATGTTTACGCTGTCGCATGCTGAAAAACAACAAACATGTGGATAAGAACAACGCACACAAACTCTTGATGTTTCAAAGAATTATTCCTTCATAAATCTTTGCTCTTGGATGTTGAATAAACATGAACTGTGACTGCTTTTTGTTAAATAACTCCCCGATTCTCTCATTTGGACATGGAGCTTTCTCACCGAGCGTGTCGACCTTCAGCTGGTCATTCACGATCCGATAAATGGCCAAACAGCAGTCGGTGTTTTCACAGAGCTGCACAGAGCCAGTCACATTCCCAGCTGCGGAGTAGCCGTGATTCCTTGAGTTTGTCACTTGGAAAGCACAACGTCTCTTCTGTAGTAAGGACTGGTGACATATTTGCATAAAGAGACATTCTACAATGACAAAGAAAGTGTTGATTAATAATTGAACTGGTTCAGGTTGGCATCCATCAGTCTTTCTGTTCATTCAGACAACTCTTCTTTATTTTTCCTTCCAAACACATATTATGACTAAAGCAGAGGTTGTTTGAATTTGTTTGAACTATTTGCATCAGTTTATGTAGAGAATTATTTATGTACCATCTTAGTTTCAGGAGACAGGATCATGCAACACATGCACAGACAGCTTCTGTGGTGCAAAAACATTTTCTAGTTCTATTATTGCAAAAAGCTATTCAAAAAATTCTGATTTTATAAACCGTATGATGACTAAATAGCAATACGGATGCACACAGCAAAAACTTTAAGAAAGAAAGAGCTTCACTTCACTCACCCAAAGCCAGGAAAAACCACTTCTTCATGCTGGATTGAGACTGGAGGCTGGGAAGCTGAAAGTATCCTTTCTGAGAATGTCAGAGGAGTTTCCCACGTTTCATCACTCCCACTGACACACCTGCGCTGTTATCCTTGCAGAAGGACACTGGTTGTCTTGAAGCCGCTCAGAGATACTGCCAGTGAGTCTGCCTCATGGTTGCTGCGAGAGTTTCCCCCAAATCTGAAGATGATTTCTGCTGCAGAATTAATTCTCCCAGATTTGTTGGTCTTTTTCTTTTAAAACATAAAAGTAGCAGGAATACTGATGTTCAAAGCAGGCAGCTGAAAAAAAGTTAACTGAATTTGCTTGAATTTGTTTTTTTATTTTGTAAATGGTTTGTCGTGGTCACAGCTTCAAGCCAGGCGACTGAAACAAACCATCTTGTGCCACTGAGTTATGTCTCTGTAAAAGTAATGTATGCAGACTTAAACTTGCATATCAAGCTTTTATTTACGATTCAAAATGACAAAGTATATATGTACATATAAGAACAATTCCAACATAAAAACTAACAGTATTAACTTTTAAATGTTTATTAGCTGGAGGGGAAAGGGAAAAGGTTTAAAGCATAAAAACCCCAAGAGTATTTGCATCTGTCACAGTCAACAGCACAGTTTATCTTTAAATGACCAGTTTTCCTTTTATATCATTAAAAACTATAAATTAGACGCATTTCTTTATTATTATCTACAATAGGATCCAAACTTAGCAGTAGTTTGGGTGAAAATATTTTATACAGTTAAAGGTATTTCGCCTTTAAAAACTCTAGGAATCTTATCAAAGTTCACAGCCACAGGGACTTTTTATCACTGGGTTTATCAGCAGGAGAATAACCCATAAAACTTGATCAAATCAACACCAAAAAACTTGATCAAATCAACACCAAAATGATCATTCTGTCAACAAAACTTTATTCATTCCCTGAACATCACAGTTCAAAGACCCACATCCCAAACAGAAAGGACCCAGGCTTCTGGAAAAACTGTGCAAAAAGTAATGGTCAAAAACACCACTCTCTGTGAAATCGTATGGAAAAATAAAAAGTGCTGTCTATTTGTCAAAAATGGTAGTGCAAAGTTTTAATAGTACAGCGCTGATACACAGTTCATTTCACTGAATGTGTAATCTGAATTTCAAGATGAGCTTTCTATAAAAGCATGTTACTGCATAAATTTTTTTTTACACATCTTAATAAACATTTTTACATGTCTTTTCCAGGGTAGCTATCAAGCTTGGAGTGCACTTTATACAACAATGTCAGGAAGTTTATCCTTTAAGATGTTCATGTCAAATAAGTTTTAAAAAGGCTTTTTTGTGCTTATAAGTTTTAGACAGTTTTTGTAAAAGAAACAAACAAAAACAAAACTATTCTATAAGCCTTTCTTAAAAGCTATTTAATGAAAGTCATCCATTTCATCAAGCAGCAAAATGATTCATATAAACTAAATGCACACAAGCCTATTTCATTCAGTCTTGTTTTGAGACGTCTGACATGTGGGAGTGAAGTATTTATGTCAGAATGAAGCTTTGTGAGAATGGCCACTCGTTGCAGTCACCCCCCACGCACACATATCAGGCCCTTGCATTGTTTCTCAGAGAGTCATGAGGAGGTGCTTGAGTCAGGGTGTCAGGAGGTCCCGAGGGTTGAGGTTAGCCACCAGACAAACATCATAGCTGTCGTGCATCGCTGCTCGTCTCTCCACAACCGTCCACACACAGTCTGCAGGGTCCAACTCCAAAATCTCCTTGGTGATGATCTCATGACGACCTGCAGTAAATGTATGATGATGACTGACCCAAAGTCTAATTTGCAGAAGCAATGTTTCATTCGTCATCTTGCATTCCTTTATTCTGATGCATCCAAAATGCAGCTTGAAAACCGTATATAGGAACAGGAAGTGTCACTCACCAACCCCTTTGTAGTATCCACAGAGGTAGAGCTTTCCTTCTACCGTTCCTATGTTGGAGGCGTTGGTTCGAAGCGAAAGCAGGGCTGTGGGGAGTGTTGGACCCGGCCTCCAGCTGTCTGCATCTGGGCTGTAAATTTCTACAGAGCTGAGACAGCGCCGTGATTGTCCACAGTCCTCACCTTCGCATCCTATACCGCCTGTAAACACACGGGCAAAAAAATTTTCCGTTCAGAAAACTTAAGATAAACTTCATATTCCTTTGCCCAGCTGCATTTTCACTCTTTCCATTGACCAGTTTTTTGGGTTAGTTGTGTCTATTTTCTTCAGCAGAGCCAGTGAGCTATTGTAACAAATAGAAATGTGTGCTCTGTTTGTTTTTCTTCTCCATATAAATAAAGTCACAGTGAGGACGGAGCAACAGAGGTCATTGCTATCGAAAGCTTTCCTTTTTATTGCTCTTTTCTTCCAAATAGTATTCCTGGCCCAGTGAGCCTAAGTTAAGCTTCTAACTTCTTCATTTATATTTGTATTGTCTCTTTATTTCTTATGTTATAAAAAGTTCTCCATGCTAGATTTTGTGTTTTGCCAAGTCTCATTCAGGACTGGGCCACTGACACGCAAACTTCAGACCCGTTTATAACAAAAAGTGCCTTAAAATAATTTTTTTATGCAAATTGTTGCTATATAAATGAACTAAACCGATAGTCCCAGAGTCTCACCTAATATGTAGATTTCTCCGTTGAGTACAGCTGTGCCGCAGCGGTACCTGGAGTATTTCATCCTGGCACACTCTGACCACCTGTCTTTGCTCGGGTCAAATCGAAACGCTCTGTTACTCAGCTTGTCAGGCTCATCGTCTGGCTGGTCCTGAGGAACGGGAGAGAAGACGGGTAGTTCAAAGACAGGAAAACAGGAAACTCATTTAGAAATCAAAGGGGCTTTTGTTCAATTACAGATAAGACTTTAATCTATGCTTGAATTTAATCAGCTAAGAGATGGACAGAGCTTTTTTAAAGCCTTCGTTGTTTCTACCAGAAGGGGGCGCCAAAGCGTTTTCATAAGCATGAAGATTAATGAAAAGAATAAGATCAAATGTTCTGATGACAGTGTAAATAAACAGGTAAGTAATTAAATACATGGATAAGTAATTGGTTTCTTTATTCCTATTTATTTATGAATTTATTTACTTATTTCCACATTTATTTCTGCCTATCCTTTTTCCGTTTTTTTTGTTCATTTGTACTTATTTGTTCCTGATTCATGGGACATATGAATACAAAAAATGGAAAAATGATAGGCAGAAATAAATGTGGAAACAAGCAAATAAATAAAAAAAATAAAGAAATGTATAAACAAGCAAATATAAATAGGAAAAAAAAGAATCCAACTATTGACTTATTTAATCTATTTCGGGTGAAATGGCTCTCCATATGGTTTAGGATTTTTCTTTTAGTTGTCCCAAGCCTACACGAGGCATCGCTTTCCCTTCAGACACATGATTACATGCACCTCCAGCACATTGTACTTCCTCCTGTACCTGTGGGGTCCAGCCGCCCAGCACGTAGAGACCCTCCTTCAGGCTCACAGTGCAGTGGCAGGCCAAAGCAAGTGGTAAAGGTGCGAAGCTGAGCCAGCTGCCTCCTCTCTTCAGTGACCATCTGTCCACACTGTCCGTTATGACGTAGTGATTACGCACTTTCATCTGACCGCCAATGAGGTACAGAGCATCTCCGACCAACCCCAAGGCATACATGTCTCTGAAGGGTGCAGAGCAGAGCTTCACCCAGATTTTCTCTTCAGAATTACTGTATCTGAAACATAAACAGGCAGCGCAGAAATTTAAAGCAGCAACATTTTTGAAATGTCTCATTTTTCACACACAGTACCTTGAGAAGAATTCATACTCCTTTTCCCCAATTAGTATCTTTACATTGACACAAATCAATAGCACACACATTTTGAGGAGGACAGAGGTGATCCATGGATTCCAAATTTACGTTGTAATAAAAACATGGAAGGTGTTTCTATACAGCTTTCCTGAACTCCATCAAATTCTTTGATCCAGGTGTCTACCAGCGTTGAGCATCTGGATATTCATCGCTGTCTCTCAAACTCAGTCACGAGAGCATGTGAGTATTTTATATTCGCTGTGGCTACGCACCTGCCCTAAATGAGTGAGTGATTATCAGGCTTCTACAGATAGATGTTGGAGGCATGCAGAGGAGTTAATGCAATTACTTGAATCAGTTGTGGTGGAGTGGGGATATGTCTAAAACATGCAGTCCACTGGGCTCAGAGGACCAGGGTTGGGAACTTCTGTCCTAAATGGCTTGCAGCAAAATGCAAATATGATGTGTGTATCGTTGCTATTATTTCAACAACAGGGATGCTTTTTTTATGGCAGTCTTCCATTAAGACCAGGTTTGTGGAATACATGATTAAATTTGTCTTAGCGGTTCTTCAGTTCCTCCAGAGTTGTCATGGACTTCTTGCCTGTTTCTAGGAAAAATGCTGACCTTGTCAATCTGTCAGCTTGGGCAGGTATTTTATATTCTTTCCATTTTCAGAGGGATTTAAAAGCCAAACCCTGCTGAAAACGCTGACCACAAGATTTCCCCTACACTTTGTACTGTGTTCCTTAGTATTCGCTGTGGTATTTGTTTTCTAAGCACCCATAATAACTAAAAAGAAAGATGAACACATGCTCAGCACCTTTTTTTAGTATTGTTTCATCACATTCACAAAATGATGGCCTAAATAGTTTTTGCCGAAAGATAATTTTTGGGGGGGTTAAAAAAATCACCACCTCTTGCAAAACAAATCACTTTTGGCAAAAAAAAAAAAAAAAAAACATCACATAGCTCATTATTTTAGGAGAGTGACAATTTGGAAAAGTTTGCAGTCGTAACAAGTTCAAAAAATATAAATGCTTTTTCAAGGAATAGTCCTAACTTGTAGATGTCCAGCCTCTTCCTCCTGTGTTGATCCTCGGCCTCTACAGCCACCAGTATGCTGCTGTCCCGGGTCACTGCTCCTGCTGTGACCTGGCCCTGACCGCCATAGTCTCTCAGCGGAGACGGGATGTAGTAGGTCTTTCTACCAAGGGGTGCAAAGCAAAAACTTTGGTCAGCAAGTCCTCCACGTCTCGCTGGCACACCCTCTGTGTTCACTCCACCCAAGCAGAGCAGCAAATCTGTTGTCTCCATGCCATATCGAAGAGGTGGACGAGGTGGAGCGGACGTCTCACAGAGACTCGAGGTCTGCAGGGCAGCATCGATCATGCCAAAGCACTCTGCATCCCGCAGCAGTACCTAGGACGTTCATTTCTACGTTAAAAGAAAACATCTGCACATTGTACCTAATAATGTTTTGACATTTTTGGGTTATGACTAGTGACCTCATTATTTGGTCATTTTCTCCAATCCCATCTCACCGGGTTCCTCCTCCTCGCTTTCCGGAGGAATCCAGGATCCACCAGCTCTAGTCGCACTCGCCGGAGCAACTCCACAGCCTGGGTTTCGCTCTGAGAGTTGCTCCTGTGCCTCTCAACCCACCGCAGCACCAACTCGAGCACAAGTTCCTCCTGTGATATGTTGAGGTCATCCGATCCCAGGAGAGTCCCAAGACGCTGGGAATCAAGGTCCAGCACTTCTTCTTCCTCACAAACCTTGAAAGATGCAGAAAATAAATATTTTTTTCTTATAAGGCTCTAGTTGAAAGAAAATTTGACAGCAATAGCTCCACCTGGGTAAAGTGTTGACAGATGTATTTCAAAGCACAGTCAGCCAGATCAATAGCACCAAGATCTCTGGCCCAATAGTACAGCCCAACACAGTTTGAGGCATCCATGTGGGCCTCCATGTGGCTCTGACACAACCTAAAAAAAGGCATTGTGGGAAGTAAAAGCCTTTTAGCTCCTGTACAACAGTCGCTGGTTCTTGGAAATTCACCCAAACCGAGATTATTATCCCACCTAAAAGCTCCATCCACATGGAGCAGGAAGGCAGCAGCAGCAGCAACTCCCTGGATGTTGTCGTTACAAAGCGGGAGTTCAGCCGAATACATGTACTTCAGCAGCAGTTCAAGGCTCTGTGCAGCTGTGTCTCTGAGGGGCACCTCTCCTCCTCGAGTTTCCTTCAGACCACATGTAAACATAGCCTGCAACCAAACAATCACTCAGTTTCAATAGACTAGATGTCAGCTTCAAACTGTTTTGCCAAACACAGGCTGACACGTCTTGTGTTGTCCTTTGAAATCTTTAAAATCTGCTCTCTACAGAGTGGCATTTTTGTTGTTGTTGTTTTACCTGGAAGTAAGGGCTGAATGCAGACAGAACCACCTTGTGGCATGGGAAGGAAATGCCCTCTGCAAGAAGGATGACGTCAGTGAGCTCTTCAGCTGCTCTCATTCTGGCGAGCTGCCTGAGCAGAAATGACCCATGCTGTTCCTGAGCAGACGGCTGCACCTCGCTCTCCATGGACACTTGTTTTAGATGACTGCACCACTGCTGTCAGTTTGGAGATACGAACGTGACATTTTATGCAAAACGTGTCGAAGTAAAAAGGGGATGAAGATTCACACTTATTCCCAAATCTTGCTTTATTCCTCTGTTGATTCAAAGCAGCTACAAGATAAAGTCCATCTCTTCCAGGGGCATGCACAGACAATTCAACATGAAGAACATAATGAGAAGCGCCGTTTGCAAAAACATTTCTTTCCCCCATTTTTGCAAGGTCAGTGCACGGGTTACACTGTTCTTACAGAGGAATAATAATAATAATAATTAGTTGGGCAGTGATGGACTGTAAGAAGACTTTCTGTCTTCTGCAGAAAATGTTTTTCTTCTCCTGCTGGGAATAATTAAATTTTCTGATTGCAATGCTTAATATGTGATGTCATAGGGGTTTGGGTCCTAAGACTGAGTTTTAAGTCTTTAATTTGGAAGAAAAGTGATTTAAGAATCATCAAGATGTAATGTGAAGGTCTTCAATAAAATTCGCTTGTTATAGCTTGCCAGAATAATATGTTTTGTTTGTTTTGAAAAGGGAAAACGTAATGGGAAATGTTACCTTTAAATTCAGCATTTTCTTATATAAATTTAACAGTTGATCACTAAGTGAAACAGAGCCGGGCGTCTGCTGGATGTCAACAAAGCGGTGTAGCTCGGAGCCTTGCTCCAACTGTTGGAATGCGAAGGTCATCCTGAAAAAATGGGAGGAAGATGTGTGGTTTCGATGCAGAGTTGTAAATGTGTGTGGGCTGCCTGCAAGCAGCCAGAGCTCTTGGGAAGACTGCTGGTAGTGCAGCTCTCTTTGTTCTAGCAAGCTTAATGAAAGTCTCACAGAAAAAGAATCTAAAATCTCAGGAAAGAAAAACGTCATCATGTACTTAAGAGAAAGTTCCTCAACGCTGGGAGCATAAATAGTCCATGCAGTTCCTGAGCAGCATGGACCTCGATCTCCATAGAGGCTCGATGTAAATGTCTTCACCATTTCTGTCAGTTCCGGGGTAAAAAAAAAACTTGTGATTTTATGCCTAGTTTGTCAAAGGCAAAAGGGAAAAGAGATCGAAACTCATTCCAAGTTTCACTTTATTCTTCTGTTAATTTTAAAACAGTTGAAACAAATGCATTGAGATTTATTTCTCAAATTCGTACAAAGTGCAGCTGTGACAGAAAATAATACGAGCGCCTGATAAATCCCTTCAAGACTATTTCCTCCTAAATATACAGTAGACAGTCAATGAGAAGGTTAAACATTCACAAGTCCCTTCCAGGGGAAAAACACACTGAAGAATGCTTTTAACAAACTTAAGAAGCAAAAATAGTTTTACCTGTTTCCTAAAATCAAGGGGTTTCTCAACGTAGATCTCATAAATTGTCACATTACAAGCTGCGTATCAAGGCTTGTTTGTGAAGGTGTGCTGCACTTGTGCTCTGTGCTATTTACAGCTTGGGAAGGCATAGCAGTCAACAACAAGCTCATAGATGAAGTGAGTTTAAAATAGATCAGCCACCGCCAGCAGAGCCGTAGCTGAGTTTACATTTACAGCTACGCTACTTCTCATTCTAACATCAATGCTTCATTTGAATTTGAATGTCTACAGCAATACAAGTCTCTTGTTTTCAAGATCAGAAACTCTGGGCCATATATGTCCTCAGACTCTTGAATGAAGCCATGGGAGGTTTTGACATAAAGATTTTCACTTACACATTTACAGGGTGTCATAGTGCAGCAGACATCCTGTCAGACATCACGTAGCTGTTATAATGAAGAACAGTCAGTCACTGTTTATTGAACCGAATTGGGTTTATTGTTGTATCAGCGTAAACAACTGATGCTATCGGTCAAAGCAGATTTATTTATCACATAGGTCTTTCCTTTTCATGTCATTCATGGATGAAGTCACATCTGTCATGTGGCTTCATGTGGCGGGAGGAGTGTCTCTGTCTTCTCGACAGGTTAATGGAGGTGACATGAATTTCCACACAGTCTCATTACAGGCTGACTATTTGCTAACAGTGTTTTCATGCACAGTTGAGCATGCCATTTTCCACAACCACAAGGAGCAAAGTTTGTACTATGAAATAGTGAGTGGCGTGCATAGACATTTGCTCCATGGTCAAACTTCTTCCAACCTGTGGGCATTCGGACCTTTGAACGCAGGTTTCACTCATGCAGGCCTCAGTTTACACTTGTTGTGAGTACACAAACTTTGGTCCAAAGATCTTTGCCTGTCAACAATGACAAGGCAAGATTTGATTTTTATTGCACATCTGAAAGTTCTGTCGGTCTGTCGAAAGGAAGCATCCTGAAAGTTTGATGGCTCTGCAGAGTTGTTTCACTCATCCCACCTGGTTTCTATCCAGACCATGGATCTGTCATCCAGGACCAAAATGCAAGCCTGCATGTTGAGGGTCGAACCAACACTTAAAAGAAAAAGAAGGCAATCTTATGGTAGACAAACAAGAATAAAGTTATCATGATTATGAAATGGAGCACAAAAATCTGATTATGACAATGTGGCCTTTGGTACACAGGCGCAAAACAATGGCAAAGAGACAATGAATTAGGGATCCTGGTCTAACATAAAATGAACAAAATGCTAACAAAACATCAACTATATAATTAATTTCAGTTTAATTATATAGTTCATACTCAAAACAAATGTCATCTCAAGGTACGTCACAAGAAATTCATTCCACCTCATCATGCATACCTGATCAGGAATGAAGTTGTGGAGAATTAAAGCAATATCTAAAACTTTATTAATCTTACAAGACTCTGTTCAATCCATCAAGAACAAAGAGTACAACTCCCAACCTACCAAAATACAACCAGTTTACCAAAAACTGAGAGGCCAAACACAGAAGGCCTGAACCAGCAAGCACATGATAACTGGAGCAGCAGAAATCTACAGTTCAGATGGGATAAAGTTTACAGGACATTTATCAGATGTGCATTCCACAATTCAAGAGACAAGAAATAAGTCAATTCTGGCGGAAAGTTATCAGTACTCTCATTGCCAGTTTTCCAGAATCTTCATAGTTTGAAAAGCAAAGCTCGAAGAATGTGATTTGGTCAGATAAGACCACATTTAACTTTTTGGCCTACATGAAAAATAATATGCAAGGCTGTAAACACAACTTTCTTTTATGGCTTTGTGTCATAAAAAGGGTTGATTTTCTAATGTGACAAAATATAAAACTTTAGAATCACACAGTATGTTCACCATCTATTTACAAAAAAAACATTTTGAGCTTCAAGTTAGGAAAAACTGAGACAACTGATTTAACTTGGCTTTCAGTTGTACATTAGAAGCTGGAAGCAGCCCAAAGGTGAGAGAAAACTTTCATAATGGTGCAGACACTTCAAACTCAAAATAACAGAGATGTTTGAAGAATGTTGGTGTTTGATCAGCCTTGACTTAGGTGAAGATTGAGCAAACAGAAACATCAGTGTGACTTAGCTTACGCTGACTAGGTTTGAGAGGAATTTGCAAATTAGCAACGTAAACATAAATAACATTTTCAAGAAAAAGATTGGAAATGCAATTTTTTGATGCAACCAAATTATTATTTTAGGTTTATTGCTTTCAGCATTTTTCTATTATAATCTTCTTAAAATGAGGTCACGCATTAACATCAAACATACTGAGATCTGGAGGAACAACTCAACATTTTCAGATGTCTGACTTTGTCTTTGCATAACTGTCCCTTGATTCAATGTCCTCTCATTCAAAACAAGCTGTTCTTTCAGCTGTGCTTGGTCATCAAAATGTTCCTGGGTTTTAAAATAACACATTTACATGTGTGTGTGCGTGTGCGTGTGTGTGTGTGTGTGTGTGTGTGTGTGTGTGTGTGTGTATGGGTGTGTGTGTGTGTGTGTGTGTGCGTGCGTGTGTGTGTGTGTGTGGGGGGGGCTGTGTGTGTGCGTGTTTGACAGGGCCCGTGGTTAATATGTCGAAGAATGTTGCATTTAACACTGATCCATTGGAAGTTCTTGTTTTTTCTTAAGTGCAATTTCCTCATGTGGTTCAACTCTTCCTTCACTTGAGAGCTCAGTAAAGTTTTAGTAGTAGTCTCAGAATAAAAGACAAAATGACTCAAAATGTAGAAATGTAAATGCATCATGGTGTCTAAGACAAATAAGATCAATAAATTATATCAATAATAAAACCGTTTTTTTCTGATTCTGTTTGCAAAAAAATAAATAAATAAAGCAACAAATTTTAACTTTGATTTTAACAAAATGTCTCCTTTTTGTTTTTTCTCACAAGACGTATTATCCAGACATGTATGGTAGTTATCGACATTGAACATCAGCCTGACAACCAAAATTAATCTCAATAAAAAAGTAATATAGACATTCATCTCCGCTGAGTTAAACCTACATACTTTTCAAGTAGTTTTTTTTAGCAGTGTGCGTCAACAATTGTGCTAGCTGTTAATATTATAAACTGACCCTCAAATGAAAACAAATTTACATAAGCTAAGTGCAAAAATCTGCAAAGAAATTCAATCATTTTATTCTTAAATTTAACAATATGTCCATCATCATATATCTTTTCTATTCTGAATTTTAAGGCTAAAGACAGAGTTGACACTTACTTTAAAAGTTTTATGCAAGAGATTGAGTAAGCTGATTGCAAAATTAGTTGTGATTTTATCTTAACATCGCTAAATATCTGTGCAAAGATAAACCCTGGCAAGTAAAAGGTTTTGGCAAGGAGAATGAGTAAAGAATCTGTTAAACTCAACGAACCCAAGACAAGTTCACAAACTGTGAGATTTTTCCAAAGTCTCTTTCAGTTTCCAAGCTACTGTACTTTGAAAAAAAAAAAGTTTTTTTTACGGCTATTTTAATTTTTCCCCCCACTTCTCCCATTAAACATAAAAATAACTTTGAAACGAAGTACTGAATGTTCAAGGAATCGACTCATACGTTTTAAGATATGTTGGCTGCATTTTGCTCAACATGGAAAACAAAATCACAACAGTAATCCAGTGGGTCATCTGTTATCTTCCATCAGAGCGAATGTTCTTTGTTCATAAAATTCAGGATGTCATAAAGATACGATTTCGATAAAACTCATTCATACACACAAACAACGATGGATGCTTGCAGAACACAAAAGACAGGTATATATGTGTTTGTTTGCTTAAGCGAATATCAGCAGTGCTGGCTCTAGACCAAATTTAAGAGGTAGGCCACTGTGCAGACAGTGTTTTCCACGGGGACACAAAGCAAAACTGTGAAACAAAACAAAACAAACAACAAAAACCTGCTTATTATATTAAGCAAGTTCAGTGGTTCCCAAAGATTTTCTGCCTCCCCCTATGGATTACAATAAAATCAACTGGGCACACACATCGTTCAACCAGACATAAACCTATACACATATTTTGTTTTCAAACTCCACTGACGATTATTTCACACTTCAGGTTGCAAGAAAACACACTACAAACCATCTTTACAGTGAAAAACGGTTGTGTGTCTGTTTTTCTTTTTCTTTTCATTCATCCTGCAATGGCACTGCACCACCCCACCCCCACTCCCTGACCCCACACACACTTTGGGAACCACTGACCAAGCCAAAGAACTTCCTAGGGCTCTGCGGTGTAAATGTTTCAGACCCTCAAGCTAGCAGATGAAAACTGTGATCCTTTCTCAAACGACTGAAGCTAAAAATGCAACACTTTAATTTTTAATTCAAGATGAAATAGGTCCAAAATATCAAGTAGTTAGGGTTTCTGTGCCAGTGCATATCATCATATGTAATTGATTTAGCAATTACAGTAGATGGGCTAACATCTTCAGTAGACGGGCCAACATCAGGGGGCATTGGCCTGTATTAACTCCTGTCCAGATCTGAGAATCAGGGATGGTGTCTCTTCTGAAGACAGGAGAAAACCAGTCACTCCCACACACTGGTGCAGATTCTCATTCTCAGTCACTCCCTCAGTTTTAAAGAAAGCAAGCGCTGTTACTCAGTACTGAAGTCTGGTTACACCTGACACATCTCTTCCACTCACAGACACCCTTGAGCAGAGAGCAGGAGCCTTAAGCAGACACAGGTTTTATACAGGTTTTACTCGACCGGACAAAGACATGGAGGATAGATACACAACTTTTGGGGAGTACGTCGTCCACCGGGAAGTCCTGGATGAGTCCCGCCTGGATGTGGTGGCCCAAAAAGGGACATGGTCCACCAAACCAACCGTTGGTGAACGGATGAAAGACATGCTGAGGTAAAACCAAAGAAGAGAAGAAATGTGAGGGTGGAGGCGCTGCTGATAAATGACAAAAAAAAAGGAGACAGAAATATGCTCTTCAAATCTGGTTTTATTTGCCTGTGCATTAATTTGCGTTGAAGTGATTCATTGATGTAGAACAACTCATAAATAGACAGAATCAGAAGAAAAGGTATTGCTATAGTTTTCTGAAAAAATGACAAAAAAAGTGAAATATTGTGAAATATTTAGCAACATATGTCAAGCTCGTGTGTGCTTTGGTTGGAGATGCTCTTGCAATGTAATAAGAACAGCAGTGGTTTTATCCCAATCTCTACTTTATCTCAAGGTCAGCTGATAAGCCTGTCAGGAGGTGTCTCATTTGACTGTGCACATTCATATGAACAACTTCTTGTTGGTTAATAAAGACAAATAACCTGAAAACAAAACACTGAGAAATGTTTTTCTTCTTTCTGCTTTTTGGTTTGGTTGTTTGTTTTCTGCAGGTGCTCCTCGTCTCAAGTGAAGGACGTACTGCTGACCAGGATTCCCATTCTCTCCTGGCTGCCAAAATACCCATTTCGAGAAAATATCGTGGGTGATGTGATGTCTGGCTGCAGCGTGGGAATCATACATCTGCCACAGGGTTTGTATTTATGCAAACTGAGTTCTGAGTTTTTTGGTTTATTTGTTAAAAACTAACTATGTGAAATTTAGGGAGGTGGGGGTTGAGCACTGATGCTTCGCTTTTAATGGGAAGACAATGGGGCAACCAAAGTAACAAAGCAGTTGCAGTCTTTAACTGCATTTCTTTTTTTTTTTTTTTTTGCTACATAAGGTATGGCATATGCTCTCCTGGCCTCTTTGCGCCCCGTGTTGGGACTTTACACCTCCCTCTACCCGGTGCTGGTCTACTGCATCTTTGGCACCTCCAGGCACATCTCTATTGGTGAGAGGAAACATCTAACTGAGGAGTCATCATTGACCCTCCTTTGTCTTCTACAGTGGAAAGATTTTCTACATGTTGAAGGTTTTTTTTGTGTGTGTCCAGGTACATTTGCTGTGATCAGTATCATGGTTGGCAGTGTGATAGAGAGGCTTGCACCTAACAGTAACTTTATTGTGAACGGCACCAATGGGTCCGGGATTGTGAACTTGACTGCAAGGGACTCATACAGAGCACAGGTAGCGTGTTCTCTCACAGTCTTGACTGGAATCTTTCAGGTGAGTCTTTATGTTAACGTTCCCTCTGATCTCATCACCGTGGGTGAGTTGCCTGAAGAATCATCTTTCCGTTATTTTTTCTTTGGAAGATCCTGCTGGGCTTGGTAAAGTTTGATTTCATTGTGACGTACCTCTCTGAGCCACTAATTCGAGGCTACACCACAGCATCGGCGTGCCATGTGTGCATCTCTCAGCTCAAATACGTGTTTGGAGTCAGCCCAGCTCACTTCACTGGCCCATTCTCCATTGTTTATGTGAGTATCTGAGAAAAAATGAAGAAATTCCAAGTTTTTTTCTCTTCCCTTTCTTTCAAGTCAAAGTTGCAGCTGGCGCTTCTATTAATTTCAAGCCATTAATCCCAGAATGGATGTCAACATGGCAACAGTCATCACATTAAGATTTCCTGCAGGGATGTACTTCCTACTTTTACTGCTCCCTTCCACACAGACTGTGGTGGATGTTTGCAGACTTCTTCCTCAGGCGAGGGTCCCGGAGCTGGTGATCAGCCTCGTGGCTTTTTCCGTTCTCTTCAGCGTCAAACAACTCAATGACTGCTTCAGACAGAAGATATCATTACCAATCCCTATAGAGCTTGTAGTTGTGAGTACTTTGCTTTCTCGCTTTCATTTTCACTTTATTGCTTGCTGTTTCTCTTCAAATTCCACTAGGGGGTAGTATAACCCTAAACTTGGACTGAGTGAAGAATGGTTGTAGCTTTCCTAAAAGACTGTTGTATTTGTGTCCAAAGTAATGATTTACTCAGTCCTCATTTTAAACTAGCATCCTGTTTGCCATTACTTTCCATCAGATCATCACAGCAACAGTCATAACCTACTTTTGTGGACTCGCCAGTGAATATTCAATTGATGTGATTGGAGAGATTCCCAGTGGGTGAGTTCACACGTCTGGCTTTAAAATGTGGAGGATTTTTTTTTTTTATTTTTTGGCTAAACAAAAAGAAAAATAAAGTAGATGGGCAGGTGAACACACAGAGAAATTGAAATAATATCAAATTTCTGGAGTACACGAGGGGTTTCTGGTGAAACCTGGTGAAGAGACCCTGAACATTTTCCCTAAAAAGTCAAATAATAAGAAAAACAAATACATGTGGGTTATTTTATTGTTTTTGTTTTTATTTAGAAATCAACAGTCAATTATTGAATCTGCTTTTTATTAAAGCTATACAAAACATTTGTCTTTCCTCAGTCTCAAGCCCCCTCGTACTCCTGACGTCACACTCTTCTCAAAGATATCCAGCGATGCTTTCGCTGTGGCCATCGTTGGCTTCGCCATCAGCATTTCACTGGGCAAAACGTTTGCCCTCAAACATGGCTACAAGGTGGACAGCAATCAGGTGAGGAGGTCACACCCTCAAGCAGCTGACAGTTCAACTGAGGTTGAATCACTGCTCTGAATTTAGAGTTTGTTGCCTGATCACTCACAGTTGTTAGAGACAGTCACACTTGTGGAAAAAGTGACTGATCAGGCCTCAACCTGACCACAAAGACAGGAATAACTCCGCTGCTGAACAGTCTCTTGCGAAACTTGCCATGCATGCCATGTTACTAAACTCTTTATTTTACAAACCAATACAAAGCATAATTTGCAGAAGGACAATCATAAATGATTTTGAAAGCCTGTTAGAAATAAAAGTCTGAAACTGTGACATGAATTTGGGTTCAGCACCCTGACTCAATGCAGTGTAGGACCAGGTTTCACTCTATCAATTGTGACTCAGTTGTGACTCTTAAATGTGTTTTGAGTTAACATATTTTAGTTTTTTTATTTTAGTTTTATTTATATAAGAAAAAGAAAAAATTAGAGGTATTAATCTGGATTGCAGAGGAGCCGAATCAGTCATCTTTAAATCCTCATTTCTGCTGCACAAAAAATTCTTCATCTAACCAGCTGAGGGACATTAAATCTTCTATAGGACCCAGACCCTGCTGTCTGTTTAGATCCACTTATGAATTTTATTTGAGACTGAACATTTAAATCTCAAAAATGTCTTTTTATCTGTACCAACTCACATTTACATTATTTCATTTTTGCCTCTGGAAGTTAGATCATGAAGAATCTACATGTGGAATACAACAGTGGATAAATGCTGGTTCACCTTTATGATAAATCATATTTCAGAACGCCTTTACATGATAAATGTTCCAAATTATCTGCAAGGAAATTGAGTTTGTGGTTTCAATTAGTTTAAATGAACCAGAACAAATGAGTTTTGATAGAATGTTAGACAGAAGTTGCATTAGATAAAATGGAGAAAAAACAAGTTTTTTTTACTGTTTGCTAATAACATAATCCAAATGCCAAACCATTTGGCATTTGTATTGCACCTACTTAACACTGTTAAGTAGGTGATTAAATAGTGTTATTTTTTGTTACAAAGAAAATGATCGTATTGCATCAATTTACTGTAGACATCTGTATTGTTCCATCAAAGCAAGTTGTCTCCAAGACCGTTTAGTCATTATTATATATCTAACATGCACTATGATGCATGTTGGGTCTCTGAATCTTCCGCTGTGGAGAGAAATGGATTTTAGCACTCAGAAGCTCTAAATGGACTTGCTAAATGTTTCATGCTCAACAAGCGTTACGTGATCAAATGTCTTAAACATTTCTCCTGGCAGCTGATCTCATAGTGCAGTAGGCAGACCAAGACATGTGAACAAACAGAACATTTTTGTCCAGAAAAGTTACTAAATCTGTGGGCATGCAGTTCATGAAAACAAATTAAAGGCCTCTCAGCAAACCACTGAAAAATGTAATCATATTAGCTCTGAAAATCATTTATATTTCGACCAGTAGGAAAGGTAATTAACATTTCACTGATGTGTCTTTTTTTTTCCTGTTGCTGCTTTTCTTTTTCAAGGAGCTGGTGTCTCTCGGTCTCTGTAACACCGTCGGTGGTATGTTCCGGTGTTACGTTGTGACGTCCTCATTGTCTCGAAGTCTCGTACAGGAGAGCACCGGCGGCAGAACTCAAGTAAAACAAATTTTTATGTGATCACATCGCAAAAGCAAAGGAAAATGAAATAGGAACTCTGCCGTAGAATTCAGCTCCAGTCAGACGTTTGGTTGAAACTTCTGTACATTTTGCAGATTAACATTTTGCCCTGGTGTTTGTCTTTTGTCAGATTGCTGGGATGGTCTCCTCCGTTATTGTGCTCATTGCAGTTTTGAAAATTGGCTCCTTGTTTGAAGATCTCCCCAAGGTAGCACCGTTTCCCTTCTTCTCTCACTCACAGTGGTTTCTGGTATAGATAAAACAGCTTTTTGCATGTTTCTCTAAGATGGAGGGTCATTTCACTGTTTTTAAATACTCCGAACTGAACCTAATCGTCAGTGCAGATCGGTCATCACAACATTCTGGGAATGAGATAAACGTTCAAACAGAAACTTTGAAACACGTCAAACATCGACTGAATTATTCTAAACATCACTATTCGTTTCAACACTGTTTTGGTTTGTAAAACCTAAGGACTAAATTTGATTTTAAAGCCCACCAATAATCACTGCAATCCCTCTGAAATTAAATTCAATTGAATACTTTTTATCGTCTCACAGCGTTTTAAGTTTTGTTGCAAGTCATATCATCCGCGCATCATCAAAGACTTGTTGTGGATGGTGATGCTGTGGTCAGTCAGGATCTCCTGTAGAAGTCAGCTTTGCAACAAATCTTAACACGCCTCTGACTAAAGACTGCTGCCATCACAGCCTCATGACTGTCATGACTTGCTGAAAGTTCAGTATTCAAACAACACAGATGATGTTCTGCAGTAATATGTCCTGGATGACACCGTCAGTCGAAGGCAAACTCTGCTAATCAACTTCATTTCCTTCTCTTTCTTGTCTTTGGTTCTGCTCTGCATCGATGAAACATCCTTTTCAACTCCTCTGGTATTCTTGGTTGTAGTTCAGGTATTTTGAGTTTTTGAGATGCGGATCAGTTTCCTCGAGTTGTGAAAACAATACCTTGTTGGCATGGCGACACATCATAAGAAATGCCCAAAAGTAAAAACAACAAAAAAAGTAGGAGCAAAAAAAAAATAAAAAAATTCTTCCAACTGCATAGTATCAAAAACCAAAGGGAATAAATACCACAATCAAAAATCTTTTGAACTAATGTCTACAAAAAGAACAAATCAGACAAACATGACAGAGATACTCTAACACGCTGCCAACATGAGCTGAGTTCATACCCAGTAAAGCCGGGGATTTTGTCTGAATTCATCTGTGTTTCCTCAGGCGGTTTTATCCACAATCGTGTTTGTGAATTTGAGAGGAATGTTCAAGCAGTTTATGGACATTCCCATGCTGTGGAAGACCAACAAGGTTGACTTGGTGAGTCTTTTTCATCCAGTTCAAATTAAATACAGTCTGTGGAACTGCTGACACGTCTGACTGCTGGTGTCGTTGCCACACAGCTTGTTTGGATGGTCACATACATAAGCACCATCCTCCTCAATCTGGACTTGGGTCTGGCTGTCTCCATCGGCTTCTCCATGCTCACGATCATCATCAAAACCCAACGGTAACAACACACCTTTGATCATACTTACTGACAATGATTGCACTTTGGTCTAATTAGTCAAAGGATGCAGGGCAGCTTGTCTTAATCATATAATTGCTACTCGTTTCAGACCCAGGTACTCAATCTTGGGCAATGTACCAGGCACAGAGCTGTATCTGGACATAGATGCCTACAAAGAGGTAACATTATTGCTCCAAAACAAATCATCTAAGTTTTATTCAGTTGTAATATTTCTGTATCGGATGTTGCAATATCAATTTTATTGCTGGTTTTGCAAAGGTTGAGCATCTTCTCAGAAACAATGAGAAACCTTGTTCACCGGCCACTTGAGTTATTTTACTGTGAATAGTTCTGCATTGCTTTTGTGTTTTCTCATTAAAGCATACTTCTAAACTATACTTGACTCTGATAAGTCACTGAACAATAGTGGCACAAATCTGAACATTAGCATCTCTACAAAAAGTTAGCTCAGTGGCACTGCAGTCGACCTTTTTCAAAACTGGAGAAAGGTCGACTGCTCTCTCCAGGCTGGAGGGAGAGTCTTTGTCTGAAACTTTCAGAGTTCAGCTGCAAAAATGAGAGTTCTGCCTTGATGTGTCATGATGAAGAAGGAGCTAAACAAAACACGAATCTTTCAACTTACGGTTCAGAGAAATTTATGACTGAGTTGCTTTTGTCTATTATTGCATCCATGTAGGCCAAAGAGATCCCAGGAATAAAAATCTTCCACTCATCAGCCACTATCAATTTCACAAATGCTGATATGTACTTGGAGTCCCTGCAAGAGAAGGTGTGTGCAATACTCTCTCTTTCTGCTGGTAACATTAGCCTCTATGGCTTCATTATTTCTCTCTCTTGCCTCACTTTCTTTTTCTTTGTCTTAATTATGACACACAAACCCTCTGTAGAGTGGAATCGACATAGGAAAGCTGCAAACTGAGAAGAAGAAACAAGAAGCCAAGCAGAGGCGTGAACAAGAAAGACTGAAAAAAAGAGAACGGAATGAAGCAAAGAGAAATGTATGCACGCTGCAAGTACACTGGCGCTGGCTGATATTTTTGTAGTGATTACTCTTTTCCTTTTTCGACAGAGGCTAAATAAGAATACGGACAACCAGAATGGTGTGGTTTTGAGCATGCCAGGGACAGCTTCAGACATCTCTGGCAAAGGTCAAATCAACTGGGGTTATTCCGACAAAGTCACATCCGACTCTGATTCAGACTCATATGAGGTCATCACTGTGGATTCAAATGAAGGTGAAGATGGGAGGAAGAGTAACTATAGATCTGGGACTCACAGCATCATTCTGGATGTCACATTGACCAGCTCTATGGACACAGTTGCTGTGAAGACACTGAAAAATGTACGTCCGCATCTGGATTTCCTGGTTAGGTGAAGATCAGCAAACGATGAATCAAGTTTTGTTCTTGTTTCAGATTTTCAGGGACTTTGGGGATGTCGGTGTGGCCATCTATCTAGCCGGCTGTCAAGGTAAAGCCACCCGCAGACAAAACAGAGACAGAAGTGAGGTGAATACAAAATCCAGGCATTAGGTTTTGATAGTGAATGCATCAAGGTCTCAGCCTGTGAGGCGCCACATGGTTCCGGATGGAGCATAAAAGTCAAGCAGAAATATGTCAGGATGATATGCGTTGCCTATGATGGTCAGCTGAATTGCTGTAATTGTTCTTGAGAAAAGTACAACAAAATTCAGCTCTCATCTAATCAGTGGATTAAAAGCGACAGCAAAAACAACAACAAAAAAACCCATAAAAACAGAGGAATAAATAACACACATAAATACAAGCAGTCTCTTAAAGTCATCAACTCTGCTCTGTCTTTATGCGCTGCACACACAGCCTGTGTGGTGGAACAGATGGAAAGGGCAAACTTCTTCTCCGAGTCCGTCCCCAAGAGCCGTTTGTTCGTGTCGGTTCATGATGCCGTCCTTCACATGTTCAAGAAGCGGGGACAGGAGGACAACGGTACTGTGAGTAAATCACACTGCAGTGGCATTAAATGATAGCATTTTACTACACATAAATGTTCTTTTTTTTTTTTTTCCTTTCTTTTTTTTTTCCCCAAGTCTATTTTTCTTATTTCAGGCTCTTTCTTGTGATACCCAAATGTGACCAGGAGGGGTCGCATTTTTCTTCTTTTTTTTTTTTCCCCCAATCCACGCAATCTTCGACCTCTCCTCCCCCTTTGCGTGTTTCGCCGCTCCCCATTGGTCGCCGCTGTCTTCGTTCAACCGGGAGAGAACGCGCCGCCTTGACATGGCGCCCGGTTGCCAGGGAAACACGGGGATCTGTTGCCTCGGCGACCAGCTTTTTATGATATGGTATAACGAGATGGCCAGGATTACGTCACTGCGGCTCTCTCGCCGTGCGGAGTGTGTGGAGTGTTTGAGATGGCGGCGGGTGGGGGATGAGTGGGAGAATGCAGCGCGGGACTAATGAGAGAGAGTCTGTATTTATGGCATCCATGAGAGGGAGCAGAGAACGACCTTCCGGCAAGAGGGGAAACTTTTGCAAAGGAAAGCAAAATATCTGCCGGTCATTTGTGGCTGATGTGACTTTGTTGTTGCATTCAAACGCGGGGGGACAGCTTTAATCAAACAGATGGATGCACTTATATCTTACTCACAAGTCAGAGAAGTCATAACTTTCAACTGCTCATGTTGAGCTTGCAAAGAGTTCAACAGCATGTAAGTTAGAATAGAATGGAATAGATGATTCTGGCCTTTTCTCATGTTTTCCTATTTATTTTTTGAAGATGTTTGTTGGGTGCAATTGCAGGCTTAGCCTCCTTTTAAAATACTGGTGCACTGATCAGACAAGCAAAACAACATTACTTCCTTGTCACACCCGTGAGATGAATGATCAACTTGCAGAAATCTGTAATAAGTCACAGATTTCTTCTTTTTTTTTTTTTGTCTTTTCCTTCAGCTTCTGAAGGATAGAAATGACTGTTCTGGATCTGTGAGCAGGCAGTGTCTAACTTGCAGTTGTTTCAGTGTGGATTTCCTGTCATGTCTGTATGGTGTGTTTATATAGACACCGACCTCCAAACTAAATATTCATGGACATATTTTTAATTGACATATTTAAAGTGAAATAATACATATTTAGTTAGTCAAAAAAAAAAAAAAAAAAAAACGTAGAAAATAGCATTTTTGTAATTCCATGGATACCTCTTCAAAACATGCATTTTTGAAGAGGAACAGCTAATTTTTACTTTCCTCACTTTTGGTCAAGTTTAGCAACATTTTATCACTTAAACTCAAAATCCATTTTTTTGTAAACATGATAACAAGTGCACTTTTGAAAGTTTTTATGTTTTTCACTAACAATCATTTCTGTCTTTTCAATGAAAGGTTTAAATGCAATTTTTTTTTCTCTAACAATATCACTTGGATTTGTCATTTTTTAATATAATTTATGTAATAGGTATGAATAATAACAAATTTATTGTGTCATCCGCAAGTAAACTGATGGAAAAAAGCCACCGATCCATAAAATATACCTGAATAGATTTATTTCAGTACTCACAAATTCTGGAGAATGTTTCATTGTATAAATATTTTTGTTGAAAGCATTAAGAGATATTTTTAGTAAGAGTTTGTTTAAATAACTTAATTTTCTGTTGCCACATTAAAGCAAAACTTTGTATTCCATGGAAACATTGCTTCTTAGAACATGTGTTCTGCCCTCTTAGATTTTAGACGGCAGAAGAAAATTAGAGAACTCAATGGTGCAGCTTCTGAAGGAAAATACCAACCTTGTTAAACCGGTAGACGCCCGAGAAAATGACATGTTTGGCATTGCAGGGCTAATATTCCACTGAACTCCACTTCCAAATTACCCCAAATGTCAATGACCTCAGACATTTGAGGTAACTGAACCAAGAAGTTGTTTTTTCCTGTATTTTGTGTGTATATATTGTACATTTTAGTGAATGAAAACAAGGAAATAAAACCCCTTAAAAACACAGCACATCTCTTCATCTGATCGTTTATTGCTTCTCTCTGTTGCATCCCTCTCTCTCGTGCTTGGTACACAGCTCATTTGGATGTTTCTCTCTTCTCTGAACGTGTTAATAATCTTCATTAACCTCTCCCCAAAAAATAACACTAATTCACAACACAATACACAAGATACTTAAGTTAGTTTATAATACACAGCTGGAAATGGTGAGGCATTGTCTTGTTGTGATTATATATTTTCTTTCTTTTCATTTCTTCTTTTTTTTTCAAACAAATGGAAGTCATTTTTATCACACTTAATGAAGTGAATACAGCTGGCAGAAATTACTGTCCATAGGCAATGTGACATGTAATTGATGGTAACACTGCCATGGTCCAACAAACACACACACACACACACACACACACACACACACACACACACACACACACACACACACACACACACACACACACCCTTGCATACACATGCAAATGCCCACGCACGTACAGAAACACGGGGCCCGGGCACACATGCGGCTACATGCATAAACACTATGACGATGGGATTTCACCAGCAGACATGATGGGAGTTCATCTCGACAGTTTTAACCAGAGGTTTCTGCTCATGTGAAACAAAATGCCTCGCTGACTGAGGGCCAGCGGAGGCTTTATATATACTGACAGAAAGGTGCAGAGAGGAGAGACGCTGCAGCTATGGCAGACACGATAACACCCACAATACGACAAGGGGACGAGACAGCACGAAGGCAGGAGGACGGAGGCAGCGGGGCAGACAGAGAGCAGGTAGAGTGAAGAAACAGAGCAGAGGGCGTGACTTCATGAATGCAGGTGTGTTTCAGTTCTTCTCCAGTGTTTTCTTTGGTCCATTTGCCCAGGATCTTTTTTTTTTTTTCTTTTTGTACATTTTAAAAATTGTAGAGTGTTTTACTGATTTGTATTTAGTTCAGACAAGGTCAAGGTAGCGTTTGTGTATGTTTTGGCGGACATGTATTGCTGAGATCAAAGCTCAGGTCGTCAGATTACACTCTCAAAGAGGAGGGTGCTCTTCGTCTCTGCAGCAGGGAGCAGCTTGGCCTCGCTTTCTGGCGCCAAGTACTCCAGGTGGTGTCTGCCCCAGATGGGTTTAGTTAGGTTTTGCCACCGCTGCATTAGGGAAAGACAATAAAAACACGACAAACTCTGAGTCAGGGGAAATGTTCGACCTTGTTTTATATCCAAAGACCCAGAATTATTCAAATGTATCATTAACTGAAAGCCCCAAAAAGAGAATCTCACCTCTCGCAGAGGTCCTTTGCATCGCAGCAGCTTGAAGAGAACAGTAAGAGGAATACAGAGCATAGAAGAAAGAGCCAGTACCCATCCCAATGCTTCTCCCCATGCAGGGTAGGTGTACACCGTGTTGTAGGTGAGGGGTTGGTAGTTCACCACGTGGAAGAGGAACACTGCCTGAAAAAACACATAAAACCCCATCGGATAAATACAAACCGGCAAAGTTAAATAGAAAGGATCCGAAGCCACACATACCACACAGATGAAAGGCGTGATATAGGACCAGCACCACTTCATGTAGGGTAAGGGCTGATAGCCAATCATACGAGCCACGTCGTCCATAAAACGGTCTGCGCCTGGGAAGGGGGACACAAGGACGTTGTTTTGAAGCGCCTGGCTGTGTAGTTTCTGTTGAATCTGCTGCAAGGAGTTAACTCACCATAAACCCATGCAATCACGACACACTCCCAGAAGGCCTGCCACAACAAAGTAATGCCGCTGGCGGAGTAGTAGTCAAAAATTTGGAATACATACATCCCTCCCTGACGGAAACAGAAAGAGCATTCAGAATTTATTCACTGAATTACTTTATTTACTTTCATCCAGTACATCATTAATCTGCTCTAAATATTTTAATGTTTATGATGATCTTTCAATGTAACGTTCTTACAATCACAGTAATTTATGATAAAAAATACATTCAAAGCCCGTTTTGTACCTCTGTAACCATGGACAGGTCAATAAGGAAGCAGATGATGCAGCAGATGGCAGCAACTATTTCTCGTCTCAAAGAGGAAAAGGCAGATTTAGGAGGCAGCATGTCCATGAGTCCTGTTATCAGGCCTTCCACCCCTACGAACTGAACAGTAGAGAAGATAGGAGAAATGTTCACGAAAATCTAGTAGACAACGCAGTGGCATCGAGACGTTTGGAACTTTCCTACTTTTTACTTGTGGACAGTCATCAGATAATATCAGAAAGTTAGAATTTCAAAACTGCTAAAAAGTTCTGGCTCTCCCCACAGTTTAAAGTGCTTTTTAATGAGATGCCAAAGGAAGGGCTGAATTGACTGGAGCTTTCGCTGACTGCACTTTTCCCCTCACTTGCAAAAAAAAAAAGAAAGAAATAAGGCAAATAAAGCTGTCTGAAAATATCTCCCGTCTAAAAGAACAGATACATTTATGGTGTGGAAACTCAAGGAGCGCCACTCATCTCTCTTTAGGCAAAAGTACAGTCTCTTTAAAGAAGCCCACAAATAGCTCTGTCGCAGAAAACGGCTTGAGTAATTAACCAGCTGCTATCCCTGTGTACAGTGCCACAGCTGCTTCAATACACAAACAGCAAAACAGACAAAAGCCTAAATTTAAAGGTTGTTTCTACAGGGCTTTTACTTTCTACATATGTGTATTGCTTTTAGTTCCAGTTGAGCAGAATATTTTAGTTTATTGATCCACAAATGGGTTTTATTTTATTCATGCTATTAGTTATTTTGTCACTGCTTTCATTATCTTTTTGTAGTTTGCATGTTTTACTGATTCGTTTACAGCAATTAGTCACCTTTTCTTTTAAATGTAAGGTAGAAGTTAACTTTGAGTACCTTTTACTAATGATCCAAACCCAAAATACAATAATTAAATATTATATTGTACTATAAAAGCAGCATAAACAGCAGCAGGAATAAAAGCAACTTTTCTGAATTACATAAAATCAATCAGCTTGTGATATATCTTGTTTAAATTTTTTATGCATATGTAAAATGCTATTTTAAATGATGTTGCAGTGCAATTTAATAAACTGCATGAGAAATTAGTGAGGATCTCAGACCAACCCATGCCTGTTTGGAAGCAACAACATCAGGTTCAGACTCAAAACATCTTTGTTTTATCAAGAAGTCAATGTGAAGTGTTACAGCAGACACTGAGTTCTTTGTTTCTACCAGACTGCTGCATGAATCCACTCACTGCTTAGTGTCCCTGTCAAACTGCAGATGTTCATTGTGAAAAACTGAAAAAGTGCATTATACACTGGAGATTTGAATGCCATCCCTTTCCAGTCTCCCTGCACAACAATGTATTTATGGATGCTTGCAGGAAAATAGTTTGGCGTTCAAAATAGAACGCCAAACTTGCAGCACGTTCTTGTGCAACGTGGCGTTGGCAGAAGGAGAAAGAGAAAACAAAAACAAAAAGGAGAAGAAATGAGGACAAGAATGGAAAGTGAGAGTAAGTGAATGGGTCTGAGCGCAAACAGACACTCTCTGTGTGAATCAGACAGAAGTTTCATTGAGAAATCTCCAGGCTGCTAGACAATAGATGTAGGCCTTGGCTCAAACAGGAATGTAGCAAAAAGGGTGCAAAGAAATGCCATAGATGTGGTGTGTTTAAGTCGTTCGTGTAGAAAATAACAAAGTGGCCGAGTTACATTGAGGACAAATGATTTTAATACCTGAATCATATTCATGTATGTTTTTGTGCGTTTAGGGATGCTTTTTGAACCAATCTTTTTTCAGGGTGAAATTATCATACAAAACACAGCCTCAATTAATTTCTCATATGGTTTCGAACTTTTTTAAGATTAGGAAATATGTGCTGAGATCTTTTAGCCTACTTTAAGCTGTAAGGAATTTCTTGATTCTGCAGGTCAAACAGTAATCAGGTTTCATACCTTAATGGAGGTTAGTCTGGATATATTTATACTAAATCATCATTTAAAACATGTATCTTTTAACCTTAGTTGTTATTGTCTGACACTGAACTACTGTAGTTAATCATGTGAAACCTTTAATTGTGAAAAAAAAGGAGAATCAGAATAAATTTGTAAGAGGATAAAAGCTTTTTGTCACCACAACATAGTCATATTTGACTGTATGATTTAGCAATCACATAATTGTGTGAATTGGAGAAAATTCACTGTTAAATTAACAATTTACTGTTAAATTCACAGTTAATTGTGAATTCACACCCAGTGTTTGTTTTTGAAACTCATTGAAGCTGAATGCTTTTAGCAATTCCACTCTGGACAAAGAATAGCTTAAAGTCTTCCTTTAAGGCGCAGGATTACTATAAAAATTACAGCTGTGGTGCATCTGTGCAAACGTTTCAGACTGGATGCACTTTAAATTTAAATAGACTCGCAGTGTCATGATAAGATGTTTAACCCAATGACCTCTGAGCTAACTTCTTTCACCAAGGTCAAGTCTCAGCATTACCTGACTGTCCAGGCCCAGTACGAGTAACATGAAGAAAAACAGCGCTGCCCAAAGCGGTGCCAGAGGCATCAGAGTCACAGCCTTGGGATAGGCTATGAAAGCCAGGCCTGGGCCTGCACACAGAGAAACATGGTTAGAATGATAAAATCTTTCGATACTGAGAGTGACTCATAACTGATGAGTGGACTCACCACTCTCAGCCACCTTACTGATATCCACTCCCTGTTCTGCAGCCATGAAGCCCAGAGCAGAGAACACAACGAAGCCAGCGAAAAAACTGGTTCCACTGTTGATAAGAGCCAGGATAAATGCATCCCTGCAGGGAAATGCAAAAAAAAAAGAAACAATTACACAAAGAAAAAAAAACTATGTGGGGAAAATATGTCAGAGCATATGACGTAACGTAGGCTTATGTAACATACTCAAGACAGACCCAAGCAAAGAGGAGATAGCCTGGGATGGTAAATTAGAGATCAATAGCAATTTCTCTGAAATACATAGCTGTCTTAGATAGCATGTAGCAAGGA